ATCCTGCTACTTTGCTGAATTGGTCAACTACGTCCAATAGTTTTCTTGCTGAGTCTTTAGGGTTTTCTAAGTATACTATCATGTCATCAGCATAGAGGGTCTCCTCTGGTTTCTGTATGCTAGTGTTCCACACGAGGCCTGAGGGGGACACACCTGAGGGCCTAAGGCTTAGGCAGGGTGTTAAATAAATGCTTATATGTTTTCTTTTAAAATAAAATTTATACTTTTATACTGGTTCACTTCCAAAGTTTTTATACATTGTTTTTCACACTGGATTTTTACCCACCCTATCCCTCCTCCTGTGACCCTATGATTATAGGGTAAAATGCTTTCTTCCCTCATTGCTGCTTGCTTGCTCTGAGCGCATGAGTTTTAAGCAAGACCTGTTGGAAGTCCACCAGTTGGAACTGGCACTGAAGGGTCAAGGCTTGTACCTGAGGAAGATGATGGAAGCAGGGAGCAAAAGGTTTTCCTGTGACTAGTGCTTCTCAGTCCACAAGTTTAGAGCAAGGCCTAGTGGAAGTCAAAGGGCCAAAGATTTTACTGATGGATGGGGGCTTGTGCCTGAGGAAGATGCCAGAGGCCAGGTGTAAAATGCTTTCTTGTGTTGCCACTGGTTGCTTGTTCTCAGCTGAAGATCTATGAGCAAGGGCTGGCAGAGGTCGAAGGGTCAGGGTTTGCCCTATGGCTTCTTCCTACTTCAGCCCTGGAAGAGGGCTTTCTCCAGTGCAACTAATGTTTCATTTTTTTAATCATCCACACAATATTAGGCCCTACTTTTCCCTCATGTGCCTCTCCCAGCTCTCCACCACCCTACCATCCCCCAGCACAGAGACTTTGAACCCTCATAAAATATCCCTTTCTGTCATTATGTCACCAAAGGGTGAAATTTCATTACAATGTTTCACATTGGCACAGGATCAATCCTGTTAGGCGGTAATTTTCAAAATAATTGTTGATTAAAGAGTGCTCTGAGGTTCTAATATATTTTCTCTTTAAAGCAAAAATTAACTAGCAACTAAGGGAATTACAGAATGGTAATGACATGCAAATTCACTAATAGTTCAATAATATGAAATAAAAATAATTATAAAACATTTAAGCCTAGGATATGCAGGTTGAATGCCTAGTGTTTACAGAGAGACATCATAAGAGTTTTACATGGACATCAGCTTGGAGCTGCCCCTCCTGATCCACCACAGCAGGAAAAGACCACTGCAGCCCAGTACCAGCATTCTCAGAGGGATATGCTCAGCCAAACTTGGTGGCTGCATCTTCTGAGACTGACTTCTGTGGATGAAAGCCCAGAAGAGCTACACAGACTCCTTCTCCTCCCCATTCACACTAGAGTGGAAATGGGTCCTGGCTAATGTGCCTGTGGTATGTAGAACACTGGTGGGCAGTAGCGAGTTTCTAAATTTTTTTAATCTAATTTTATATCAACCAGTAAAGTACAGTTAAAGCTTGCCTCTTGGTTTATTCTCAAAGTGTCTTCACTTTTTCTAAAATATGTGGAAAATGTTCAACAGAGAAATCTTTAAGCCTGAATTTTTCCAAGAAATTTAGTGATAGAATGAGAAAAGATTTTATGAGGTTTTTCTTCACAACTTGAAGGAGAAGTTCAGGGGGATAATAGAAAAAAAATTTCATGAGGATTCCCTCACCCCTTGAAGGAGAAGTTCAGGGGAAGATGTCAAAAAAGGTTTCATGGGAACTTTTCCACCCTCTGAAGTAAACTGCGTGAAAACTCAGAGCTAGAAGTGAACAAAGAGTCACAGGGGATGCCCCATCCTCTGAAGCTCAACATATTTCTCTCTTAAAGGAATTGTTGGGGGTAAAAGTGAGAAAAGGTCTTTTTTGGTGTTATTTTGGTTTGAGAAAAGTCTTTTTTGTTGTTGTTTCCGTTTATGCAGAAATGTTGTTACTGATTTATGCCAGTAGGTAAAGGGCCGTTAAATTTAAAAATTTTCCATAAGGTTATGAGAGATTTACAAAGAGCACATCAAAAAGGAAAACAAATTTCTATTGATTTTCAGCCAGTATGGACTTCGAAAAGAATAGTAATGATGTCTGTGCAGGACTGTACTCATAATAAAAATTTTGGCAAAGAAAAGTGTTTGAATCTTTGTATGAAAATGAATTAAGTGATGTTACATTAGAGAAGGTTAAAGCTGAAGGCAAGAAACAGCCTATGGTCACCTTTAGAAAGACCCTTAGGAAGATGCAACTCTGAATTATTATTTTCTATTAATAGACTTGTGTTGACTCAAACAGTGCTCTTCCTAGGAAAAGATTTACAATTTAAAACATGGTTTAGAAAAATAAAAAAGAGAGAGGGGTTCTAAGGCTCAAAGCAGAAGCCTGTAATTATTTGTGTTGATTGTTTTATTTTTTGTTTAAATTTGCTATTTATGATTCCTTGTTTTTTGTCTTAGTTTAATGTAATAATAGTTTTGAGCTCATAAAAATCTGACAATTACAGTAAAATAGAAAAGTAAAAGATAAAAGAATGAAGCCAACTTAAGAGAATACTCTTGACTTGGAAGATGAAGAGAAGAAGTAGTTATAAAGATCAATAAATTAAAAGCTACACCTGAAATTTTTTAAGAGGATAAAATCTCTGAATTTGTAAAAACTGTTTAAAATAGACTAGGTTTGGTAGTCATAAAGCTGGCTAGTCTGTTTATTTAGGTCAACCTGAATGCCAAAATAAATGTAAAACCAGTCTTTCATAGCTGAATAGATAAGGTGATCTAGAAGTTTTAGAAGCTCGAAAGAGAGAAAATGCAACTTAATGCACAGGGTGGTTATAAAGAATAAAAGTTATAAAAAGATGTTTCATAGAAGTAAAGTTCCCTCAGTTGACAATCTGTAAAATTTAAAAATTTAGATTTTCTGAAGTGCTAAGAAACCAAGCAGGTTTTCCAAAGTGTAAGTGGAATGTTCACTATAATGGAGGATGCCTGTGAGAACAGGCTGCAGAGTGAAGCAGTGGCTCCTAACAAAAGAGAAATTAGAAGCTTTAGGCTAATTAGTGGAGAGGCCCATAGCCCTTGAAGATGGCTCACAGGTAGGGTGGATGCACAGCCCTCACAGTGCTGGGGAATTTGGCTGCAGCAGCTGCAGCGGTGGTGGCCACGTTGTGCATGTAGGCCGGGCACATGGACATTCAGGGTGGTGCCAGCTAACACACACACACACCCACTGCCTGCCTCCTCCCTCCAGGTCCAGACACACCTCCTCAGGTAGTGGCTTGGCAGGAACCCCAAAACTATAGAGTAGGGAGGGCACTGGGAGAACCCTGGTACTCCTCTGCTGTGAAGTGGAGACAAATGTAGAGAGGCCTGACTGGCTCCCCAACAATCTAGAACACAGCACTACCAGCTGCCGAGGATGAAACCCGCAAGTGAAAGGAAGGACTCGCTGAGCTGCAATGCCCCAGGAGCAGCCGGTGGATTTAACCAGTGCATCACTAGGGCTCCTGTAGGGGATCCCAACCCCAAGATGTCATTTTCTCCATGGCAGAGCCACGGAGCATAGGAAATTTTAAGTAGAGTTTCCAAACTCACATTGTCCAGCCTACCATCTCAAATGAAGACTGAAGAAGATTCGATGCCTTTGAATTGTGGTATTAGAGAACAGTATCAAAGATACCACGGACTTCCAAAAGAACAAAGAAGTCAGTTGTGGAGACAGTGTAATTAGGAGCTCCTAGAGGGGAGGATGGTCATCTCACATACTTTGGGCCTGTTATCAGGAGGGGCCAGTCCCTTGGAAAGGACATCATGCCAAGGAAGGTGGAGATGGAGAGGAAAACTCCAATAAGATGGAGTGACAGACACAGTGACGGTAGCAATGGGCTCGAGCACAGCAGAGATTGGGAGGTCAGGGTTCTGTGGGTCACTGAGTTGTCATTGACTCCACAGCACCTTACAACAGCAACAATGCATGGCAGAGTACTCTAGAGTATCGTAGATTCTTTTCTTCATTAGAATTCTAGAGTATTTACAAGATGATTCTTTTTATTTTGGTCTCCATATGAAAAATAGACCCAGGACTACACTGGGGGGAGGGTGGGAGCAAAGGGGATCGGAGGATTACCATAGAATTTTATGAAAAGTTGCTAGACTTTCCAGCCTCCCTCCCTGGTGGGGGAAGCATAAGTCAGAAAACAGCAGGACATGGAGATTAAGCAGGGAAACTAGCCTGGAGAACAAAGACAGCTGTGACTGATAGGTCAGTATATGGATTATTAGAAAACAAGACCAGTTCTGTGAGGTCAGTTATAAATAATTGTTAACGGTATTGATCTGGCAATTTGTTAACAAATCATGAATTGATAGCTGGCTCCCCCAATTTCCCAGCCATGGCTTTTTTTTGCCAGTTAATGAACCTTTGTAAGTATCACTTAGCATTTCCCATCAGTTTGTGAGATCATGGTGTCTTATATGTTGCTGATACTGGATGCTATACTATAACTATTTCGCATGGTAGCAGGGTTTCCCACAGCGAATAGATTTCACAAGAGCTTTCAGACTAGGACAGACAAGGAAGAAAGGCCTGGTGATCTACATCTAAAAATTATTGGATGAAATATTGACAGATCACAATAGAATAATGTCCAATATAATGCTGGAAGATGAGGCCCCTAGGTTAGAAGGCTTTGGAATGTATATCATTGTCTGCAACAATAGCCACCAATGACTTTGGATGGCACAGGACCCGGTAATGCCTCTTTCTGATATATATGAGGCTACCATGAACTGTCGCAGGCGACTCAACGGCACATAACAACAACCATGAACTGAAGCAACTAATGATAACAAAACCTCAGTTTTCTCATCTACATAATGGGGATAAGAGTCACAAGCATAGTAGCTGCCACTTGTATGCTTAACAAGTCTTAGCTGTTTCTAGGAAGTTCTTGTTCTCTTTAGATTTTGCTCCTAGGTATGTTAATTCTGATTCCTTGGTATTTATTTGCTAGGTAGAAGCAGTGTTCTCTTACCTGTGAAAGAAGTAAGCAAAAAATATATGGAGTAGGAGCAGAGTGGGTGCATAAAATTCAAAGAAGCTGCCAGTCTAATGGAAAAGTTAGACGGAGACAGACACAGCTTGTCAAAGAGAGTGAATAACATGTATGGACAGGACAAGAGTGAGAATGGGTGATGGTATGTGGAGGAAAGGTGGAGGCCACACTTTGATGGGGCTCGTGTGCAGTCAACTAACTTCAAGTTTCCAACGAAATACTGGCCACCCCTTGGCAAGTTGAAGAATCCTACAGACCTAAAGGAAGACGAAGAGTAAGTCAAATGGAAACCCTTTCTGTTGGATCTATTATCTACTTTGGAATGAAAAGAAATAAAACATGTGACCTGAATTATAAAAAATGAAGAAGAAGAAGAACAGTTAGCAGGAAATTACTAGTCCTTGGAACTCTCCAATGTTTGTAATTAAGAAATCAGGTAAATGGACTAATTGGATACTATCATCAGCTAATATAAAAACTTCACTTTTGCAAACAGTTATTTGTTATACAGGTGCAAATAAGATGGGTTATGCAGTTTATACTAATGGTAAAGATGATAAAGTAGTTAGAACTAACTTGACTTCTGTTCAACAGGCTGAGTTATATGCTATTATTATGTTACTCTAAGATAAATATTTTCCTTTGAATACAGTTAGTTATACAGTATGCTGAGTTTACTGTAAGAAATATAGAAATAGTGTATATTCCTTCTCCAGATACTGATATTAGTATGCCATTTACTATATTACAAGTTTTCATTCAGCAACTAGATTCTTCTATCTCTATCTATATCTATACCTAATCTATATCTATCTCACTCATATTCCAACTCATTCTGGGCTCCCAAGACCAATGGCACAATTTAATGATAAAATAGATCAATTATTAGTAGGAAATGTTAAAGCTAGTGAAGATTTTAATAATTTAAGTTTACAAACTGTGTTGGAAAAAAACAAAAGGGGAGAGATGGGATAGGACAAATATCACCTCCTTGAGCTATTTTACAAAAGCTTTATTTACATTAAAAAAAACTTTTAAATGCTAATGAAAAAGTTGATGTGATTTGGCCTCCTGTCCACCCCTGTTTTAGCTCTCTGATTTTACGTCATTCTTGATGTCCCATTTCATCTTTTATTATTTACTTTCAGTCAAAAACCTCTCTAAAACAACAGCCTCATGGTTCTAGATTTTTTTGTTTGTAAAAATTTATTTTTAAGTAAGTTTTAAAACAACTCTTCATCAGAGAAATTACAATTTATTTCCAAAGAACACATGAGTTAGTGGTAAAAGGGACAATTATACTAGGACGACAAAGGAAGGTTAAGCAGATGAGGGTCATGACAATTATCCAGAGACCAGGTGTAATGGCTGTGGATTGGGAGGCTCCAGGGGTCATTGTGTACTGTGCTGAAAAAGAAAACAGACGAATGAGAGCCCTTGACCATACCCAAAAACTGATGAGACATTTCCTCAGCTCCTGACAACAAGGTGACCCAACACCACACACCTGTGCTGACCCTCTACTACAGGGCAGCTCCCATGAGAGGTCATGGCTGACTATGGGATAGACCTGTCCTAGTGAAGAAAGGAGAAGCTCACTATAAACAGATCACTGCTGTGACCGGTGGATGAGGACAGGAAAGAAGGCAGCACAGGGGCCGACCCTGGACGTGGATGTGGAGGATTCCCAGACACAGGCTGAGAGAGAGGAGAACAAGCAGTAACTCCAGGATGAAGAAATAGTGAGCAGAGAGTGCAGGAGAATGCCTAAATGTTTGTGGTCAGCAAGACACCCATGGTGAGTGGACCACGGGTGTGAAGTGAAGAGATGCCAGCTGATGAGAAAGGAAAAGTGTATGACCATTATTCTATAAAAGAGTTACACTGTGACCCATGTCTTCACACACACACAGGCGAGCACACAAAGAATAGAGAGCTACCATGTCCTCCATCCACCTCCCTTCTGTTACCTGGTGGCTGCAGCTCTTCCACCCAGGGCTTCAGCCACACCCTGCAGTCTCCCCTCGAGGTTCTCTTCAGCAACGCGATCAGATCCCCGTCCCTCTCCCAGGCCTTCTTCATCAGTCTGGCTCCAGGATGAATCTGTATCCACTTCATGGTTTCAGGGTTAAAAAGGAGGAACAGCTGTCCATCAAAGCCAAACAGCCAGGAAGATGTGGTGCTGCCTCCTGTGTCCAGCTGACAGCACATCTTGGCCTGCAGGGTGACAGGGGCTGCCCCACCCCCAGGGAAAGAGATCACCTCACTGTCCTGACCAATCCTCTGTCCTCCTCTGCTGGTCCTTTCTTACCTCCTGCTCTGACAGTAACCCTTCTCTAGTGAGATCAACTTATCATTTCATCACCCACACAGTGACAACCCTCCTTATTCCTCATCTGCCCTCCCTGCCCTTCCCCACCTCGCCCCATCCCAGCACAGGCACTTCGCACACTCACCACTGGGACTGTAGTTTTCCAGTTCAATGTCAGGCACTCGCTGCCTCAGCTCTACCCCAATGTCTCTCAGAGTTTGTAGTTGTTCCTCCCATTCCTTCATGGTGTTTAACTTCTTCCCGAGGAGGCTCGCCTTCATGACCTTGTTGTTCTCACAGTCAAAATGACAGAGAAGGTTTTCATCAACTTGGCTTTGAACCTCACACCATGGCTGTCCAGGTGAGGACTTAAACATGATGCTGAAGTTATAGCAAAGAGTCTGAACTGAAAGGTAACAGAAAATATTATGTTAAATTGGAGGGTGTGGCTTACCAAGGAACACCGAAGACACTGACTCCTAGGGCTGGTGTAATGGACAAACATACCCCCCTTCCTGCGGGACGGGACGGTGAGTGTGTGTGTGCCTTTGGGTGCGGTGGGGGTGAGGTAGCGTCCAGGAAAGGGGGGATCTAGAGATTGGCGGCTGGCCCGCAAAGAGGCACCTGCCTGGAGGTGGGAAGCGTGCCAGGGGCCGGTTGGGGAGTGGGGAGAGCAGGGTAGGATTCTCAGCTGGGGATGCGGCCAGGAAAGGCAGGGAGCGTGGCTGAGGACGGGTCAGTAAGCGGACCGAGGAGGTGGGAACGGGACATGGTCAGCCTGGTGGAGTAGGAGTGGGGCGCGGCCGCAGGGTGAGGATCTGGCGAGGGCTGTGGGACAACGCGGTGTCCATTGCTCCTCTCCTTTTTAGTGTGTCCCCGCCAGGCTTGGAGCAGGCGACCTGTAGGCAGAGGACTCCCCTGGGTAGTGGACAGCAGCCCTGGATCTTGTGAAGACCCCACCTTTCGCTCCCAAGACTTACTTGTTGACCCAGCCAAGCCTGACAGCTGCCCCAGAAGCAGAAGGAGAAGCAGCGTGGAGCCCGGAGCCGGCGTCATGGATTCTGAGCAATCGTGGAGCGGCCGAAGGTGTCTGCTGATGACAGGTCTTGGCTTTTAAATAGGAAAACTTGGCGCCCTCGAGGGCGGAGCGTGGCGAATCAGCTGGAAGAACGCGCGAGCCAATGGGATCAGCGGAGCTTACGATGTGCCGCCCATTCTTGTGATTTGAATGACAGCCTGGGGACTGGGGTTACACAGTCCTAGAGCTGAAGAGCCAGAAGCAGTGTACACGGTGGTTTTCGCTTCCTCCCGCCCCCTTTATTAACTTTAATGAGAGTTTACAGAGACTTCGGATTTCCATTCATTCATTGTTGCACACTTTCCTCCCTGCCCACCCCTCCCACCAGTTCACTTTTCTCTTCGAAAAGTAAAAAAAAAGAAAAAAAATCTTTCCTTGATAAACAAGACCCCCTTTGCCAAGTCCACTCCACTGTGCACCTTTCATTCTGTACTCTTGTCATGACAAAAATACCTAATCACATATTATTTTTAAGCAGTTCTCTCCCTCATCTGTTTCAATGGAGTATACGTTATTTTCCCCCTCTTTTCTTTAGTTTCCCCCCAACCCCGATGTTGGTCCTGCTTTACAAAAGTGACATTGTGCAGTATTTGTCCTTTTGTGACTGAGATTTTTTTTTCTGTAATTATATTTTATTAATTTTCATAAACATTTACAGAGATTTTGGGCTTCCACTCATTCACTGCTGCACTATTCTCTCTACCCTCCTCCCAGTTTGTTCTTGTCCAAATGCCACAGTGCTTGTCAAAGCCAGTTCTGATTAATCTTCTTTGTCAGTGTGTCCTTTGCCATTCCCTATCCTCCTCCCTCAGAGAGACTTCACCCTGAGTCATAAGGAAAAGGGGACGGCGTATTCTCTTAGCTACTTCCTGCTGAAAAGGGACGCTGTGGGTTTCAGGGTGAAGATCTTCTCTCACTACTCTAAAGGGCCCCTTTGGCAGTGACTGAGATATTTTACTCAGCATAATGTCTGCCAGGGTCACTCATTTTGTATTATAATTCATGAGTTCCTTGTTTTTCAATGCTGCATAGTATTCCATTGTGTGAATATACCAGCGCTTCTCTATCCATTCGTTTGTTGATGGACACTTGGGTTCTTTCCAGCTCTTTGCTATTGTGAACAAAGCCTCATAGACATGGGTGTGCATAGATCTGCTTGGGTGGCAGTTCTGGTGTCTTTAGGGTATATTCCCAGTAATTGACTTGCTGGGTCGAATGGTATTTCTATTTGCAACTTTTTAAGAAAGCACCATACTGCCTTCCATAGTGGTTGCACTATTTTACACCAGCACCACTGGTGAATAAGAGTTTCTGCTTCTCTGCAATCTCGCCAGCATTTGTTGTTTGCTGTTCTGTTAAATTTTGCTATTCTCTTGGAATGAGATGATATCTCATAGTTGCATCTCTTAGAGCTAGGGCTTTTGAACATTTCTTCATGTGTTTGCCATCTGAATGTCTTTGGTGAAGTGTCTGTTCGTATTCTGTGCCCATTTATTAGTTGGGTTATCTTTATCATGTTGTGGTGAGGTCTCACTTTAAAGAGTGTAAACTTGGAGCCCTCATGGGTGGAGTGGGGATCCCCCTCCACCACCGACTTCAAGGAGGAGGGTGGGGGGACAAACCACCAGCACCCCCATCTCCGGAACCTTGACCCCAGCGTAAGCTTTTCTACATGTCCCAGAGCCTGGCGTGCAGACAGAGTCAAGATTTTGGTCTTCTGAGTCCCTTTCCCCCCCCCCAAAAAAAACCAACCCATTGTGTATTAGGGAATTCTGGTAGCCATAATCCCTAAGACTTATGATGGAGGCAAGCTATTTACAGAAGTAGATGCCACTCCTTCTTCCAAGTTTGTTTTACTGGGGAAGCTCCACCAAACGCTGTCCACCATGGGTAACCATTATCATACTTGACACATAAGTGTCACAGTGTTCAGCTTCACAGCAACCACGAGTTACCTCTGTCCTGCAAGCGGGCAGACCAGGGCTAAACGACCTAAAAGAATGTTTGACCAAAAACAATGAAAAACAGGCCTGGAAGCATAACTTTCTGTCCACTAGGCCAACTGATCTCTCTCTATGCTGTTGTTATTAAGTGCTGTTGAGTCGTAGGCGACTCATAGAGACCCAAAATAGAAAAGAATGAAATATATTATAAATGAAAGACTGTATGGAATGCAATGTATATATGTGAAACACAATGTATATGAATGGTAAAAATATTAATTTTAAAATGTTTATGAATGATTGAAGAAAAGAATGGGCAAAGAGCCAGGAGCTCTTTTGGAGCTTCAGGTTATTTTTGGTTTCTAATTCCACAAAAGTTTACCCAGCCTCCCCTTCTCCAGCCCAAGCTTGGGAATTGTTGCATGCCCCATGCCAGTGCATCTCATTTCACCAATACCTAGTATGTCAATGTTTATGTGTTCCATTTCTTTCTTAACAATGCCCATTTTCTTACATTCATGCTTCTCACATTTCACGTTCCAATCACTAGTATCTACTTACAATTGTTTCTCCTCTTTTGTGTTTCTATATTTGAGGGCTGAGCAGCAGTTGCTATATCTGCTTGTCTACTTTAAGTGTGCTCTACTGTACATAGGGTTTTAAAGGCATGTTATTTCAGAAATGGATAGTCAATCTTTCTACTTAATCTGTATTAACTTGAATGTCTGGATTTAGAACAGTATCTGACATAGAGCATTTTACAGAAAAGAGCAGATGAAATACATTTCCCAATTATAGATTTTCACCAATAGGCTGATTGGCAGCATCATGATGGATGGTGAAGAGATTGAGATTGTTAACAGCTTCAATTTGCTTGGCTCCACAATCAACACTCTTAGTACTAGCAGCCAGGAAATCAAAAGATAAATTGCACTGGGAAAGTCTGCTGTCGGGGACCTCTCCAGACGATTGAAGAGCAGTGATGTCAGTCTGGAGAATATGGAGCACCTGATCCAGGCCATGCTCTTTGCAAATATGTGCTGGTCACCAGAAATCTGAACAATGACTAGTGATGATAGAAGGAGAATTGGTGCCTTTGAGTTGTGGTGCTGGAGAAGAGTGTTGAATATACTCTGGACTGCTAGGAGAACAGGTTTGTCCTAGAGAGAGTGAAACCAGGCTGCTCCTTGGCGGCAAGGATTCTGAGGCTTCATCTGACTACTTTGTTCATATTGAAAAGAAGGACCAGTCCTTGGAGAGGGACATTATAGTTGGGAGGGTGGAAGGACAGTGCAGGAGAGGAAGACTCTTGATGAGATGGACTGACTCAGTGACAGGAGTAATGGGGGCAGGTATGTCAGAGACAGTAAGGTTGGCTCAGTATAGAGCAGGGTTCAGAGCTGTTGTACATAGGGTCACTATGAGTTGCAAGCAACTTGACAGCACATAATAAAAACATAACAATGCTTATTGAAAGTAATTCATCAAATACGTAGGAAAATCACCAATACTATTTGCCAGTCTTTGAATATGTATTTTATTTTCAAGTTGGTAATGGTTTTGGGAAGGGCGTATGCCAGGGATGCATCCTATCTCCATACGTTTTCAACCTATATGCAGAACAGATTATCCGGGAGGCTGGGCTCTATGAGGGGAAATGTGGGGTCAAAATTGGTGGATGATTTATCAACAATCTGCGTTATGCAGATGGCACAACCCTGCTTGCTGAAACTCAAGAGGCCCTGAAGCACCTGCTGCAGAGGGTCAAGGACTGCAGCCTCCAATATGGATTGAGGCTCACTGTCAAGAAGACAAAGATTCTCACCACTGGACCAATTAGCAGCATCAGGATGGATGGTGAAGAGATTGAGGTTGCACACAGCTTCAGTTTGCTCGGCTCCACAGTCAGCAGTCTTGGCACCAGCAGCCAGGAAATTAAAAGGCGCATTGCCATGGGAAAGTCTGCTGTTAGGGACCTCTCCAAAGTGCTGAAGAGCAATGGTGTCTCTTTGGAGACTAAGGTGTGTCTGATACAGGCCATGGTCTTCACAATTACTTGTTATGCATCAGAGAGTTGGACAATGACCAAGGAGGATAGAAGGAGAATTGATGCCTTTGAGCTGTGGTGCTGGAGAAGAGTATTGAGAATACCATGGACTGCTAGGAAAACAAACAGATTTGTCCTGGAAAGGGTTAAACCGGGTGGCTCCTTGGAGGCAAGGATTCTGAGGCTCCATTTAACACACTTTGGACAGGTTGTGAGGAGAGACCAGTCCTTGGAGAAGGACATCATGCTTGGGAGGGTGGAGGGACAGCGCAGGAGAGGAAGGCCCTCTATGAGGTGGATTGATTCAGTGACTGGGATAATCGGGATGGGAGTGTCAGAGACAGTGCGATTGGCACAGGACAGAGCAGAGTTTAGGGCTGTTGTACATAGGGTCACTATGAGTCGCAAGCAACTCGACGGTACGTGATAATAACAACAACAATGGTTTTGCTCTGACAAAGAACACTGCAATAGAAATATCGACATGAGAAATCCTGACATTGGTGTGCATAGCAGTATGGTGTGCCCAGATGATGTGTTCCAGGTGAAGGAGTGAAATAAACACAGAACAGTCACAGGCAGAGCTGTGTGCTGTCACCAGGGGCAGACATGGCCTTAAAATAGGTACTTAATTCATGAGATCTCCCCTTCTGAGGTGGCACACAATATCTCACCCTGGTGCTATCACTCAAACACAAGGACACAGATGGGATCCAGAGCAGTCCTTGCTCTTCAACAAAGAAGCAGAAGATAAGAAATGTTTCCAATCCAAGATGGCGGCGGAGGCAGAGACAACGTGATGAGCTGCGGGAACAGTGGACCACTTGGAAAAGGGCCATTATGACCCTCTACGGACTTCTGTTTATTAATAATTGAACAGTTAAACAGTTGATGACTGGTCTTCAGTGAGGATGGAGGCTCAACAACAGGAATTCAAGGATTTCCAAGGAAGAATGGGTGAGTGCCGCAGCTCCCAACCCCCTCCCACAGAGCCTGCACTAAGCCTCACTGCAGCCGCAACTCCATGAAGCTCCCACAGCCAGAACCTATAGAATCCCTCACCCAGGATGGAGGGTGGGCACGGGGCCTCCCCAGGACTGGTGTGGTGGAGCCGCCACACTGCAGCAAAGTGTACTTGTTCCGAGGAGAATTCTTGGAGCCAAGATGGCGGCGGCAGGGGAAGCAGGCGGACACTGGCCTCCCTCGCTGGAGATGAAGCGCCAGTGTGGGAGATGGCTTGTGCTCGCTGGCCACCCACATGGAAGATGGCACTCGCCCAGCGGCCACCTGCATGGGGCATGGTGCGTGCCCGCCGGCTTCCCGGGATTGCATGTGCCTGCCAGCCAACCGTGTGGGAGATGACACTCGGGGGATGGCTCGCACCCACCAGCCTCCCACACAGAAGATGGCACGTGCCCGGTGGCCGCCTGCATGGGGGGAAGGTTCGTGCCCACCAGCCACCCGTGCATGGGAGATGGCGCAAGCCCACCGGTCGCCGCCATGGGGAATGGCATGCTCCTGCCAATCTCCCATGTGGGAGACGGTGCATGCCTGCTGGGCCACCCTGCGCAGAGGGATGGTGCACACCCACCCCCACCAGCTGCCTATGCACCGAGATGACTCCCGCTTGCCAACAGATGACACGCGCCTGCAGGTCACCTGCACACGAGATGACTTGCACCTGCCAGTCATCCGTATGGGAGATGATACTTGGGAGATGGCTCGCGCCCACCAGCCACCTGCGCGGAAGATGGCACGCGCCTGGCAGCCGCCCACACAAAAAAATGGCACACACCTGCCAGTAGCCTGTGTGGGGGATGGCACGCCTGTTGGCCCACTAGCTGTCTGCGCACGAGATGACGTGAGCACTCCAAGAGATGATGCACACCTGCCGAGAGATGATGTGAGCCCTCCTGTCGCCCGCATGCGAGATGATGAGATGACGTGTGCCTGCCAGCTGCCCACGCTGGGGGATGACATGCACCTACCCCCACCGGCTGCCCGCCCACGAGATGACGCCTGCCGGCTGAGAGAGGACCCACGCTTGCTGGTCGCATGCGCATGAGATGATGGGTGCCTGCCGGCCGCCCACATGGGAGATGACACAGGGAGATGGCGAGCGCCTGCCAGTCACCTGTGCTGGGGGATGGTGCGTGCCCGCCAACCACCTGCACAGAAGAGACGACGCGCACCCCGCCACCTGTGGGGGGGACGTGTGCCCCACCACCTGCAGGTTTGGGTTTCCTTGGAAAACCAGAGAAGATGATCACCTATACAATGGATTGTTGAAAGTCACTGTGAGTTGTCTACTTGATGATACTTACAGTGACAGCATGTCCAAGAGGACCAACAATCCTAAATGCACCACATACTTTGATGTGTCGAATGCTTTTGCCAAAAGATGTTTAGACCTGGGGGGAGCCTGTTCACAATTTTCAGGTTCCCTTTGCCATTTATAAAGGAGGAGGGAAGTGACATCTACTTCAAATTATAGTATGACCACTTATGGGGGGGGGTTAAAAGTGGTGGTGCTGGAATTGGAGATGCTGTCCCTGGCCACACACTCCTCGGTCAGGTGAGGGGACCAGATTAGTGTGGGGGCAAGTAGAGGGGAGTGTACCAACCAACCCATGGGGGGTGTTGCCCTGCTCGGGACAGGCTGTCCTCGGCCCTCGGCTTGGGGCGAGCCATCACGGCCCTCTGCCGGGGTGGGCTGTCCTCGGCCCTTGGCTCAGGGTGAGCTGTCATGGCCCTCAGGGTGAGCTCCTCAGTCCCCAGATTGTGCCATCTGACCCCTGGGTAGGAAAAAAAATGCCTAGGGTATCCAGAGAATTTTACCTAGGCGACTTTCTGCCACCCTCTCCCCCAGTAAACCTGAAAGCAACACCCCCAAAACCCCTCTATTTGTAACTCACAAGTGTGTTCTCTCTAGATTTGCTCCCTTTCCTACAGGTAACCTTACCACTGAGTTTTACTTCAGACCTGACCCCGAACCCAGTGCCAGTGACAATAAGGAAATACAACTGCCAGCTAAAGAAGCAAAGGAGGATGGAGCCTCTGGGTTCAACCAGCCATCCCCACTGGACCCACCTGGGAAAACACTTTGCAGTCCAGAGGGGAGCAAATGACAGGAAAATATCTCTAACAGAACAAGAAGGCAAGCAGCCTTAACCCAAGATCACCAGTAAGGTGATAAAGTGTCCTCCCTTTCCCCCTTCACATCAATGCCCCTGTTCATCATGAAGAAGCCAGAGAGTCGGCATCCAGTTCCCAAATCAGTAAGACAGTTGATTTAACTACCATTGGAAAATACTTGTCATTTTCCTGTAGCATCTGGTCCCCACTGGATCACTTCCATTTCCTTCACCTGCTCCCCCCACCAACCAATTTCTGCAGCTCTGCAACTGCATCCCTGCCCATCCTCACCCTTCTGCCCCCAACCCTCACCTCCTTGTACCCCCAATTTGTTTTTTCCCCATAAAAATTTAAAAAAAAGAAATGTTTCCATTGCTCAGGACTCTTGATCTAGTGCATGAGTATCAGTAGTTAACATCAAGAGCATAAGACACTGACACCAACTAAAATTGAACATCCGAACAGACCCATTACAGAAAAGAAATTGAAAAGGTAATAAAACAACTTCCAGCAAAAAAAAAAAAAACCTTTACCAGAATTGTCACCAATTCAACATAAACTATTTCAGAAAATAGTAAAAGAAGGGATTTTCTCAGACTCATTCTTTGAAGCAAATATATCCTTGATACCAAAGCCAGGTAAAGACACAACCAAAATAGAAAACTAGGCCAATATCTCTCATAAACATAGATGTGAAAATCCTGAATAAACTCTTGGCCAATAGAATCCAATGATACATCAGAAAATAATTCACCATGACCAAGTGGGATTCATAACAGGTATGCAAGGTTGGTTCAACACAGGAAAAACAATCAGTATAATTTATCACATTAACAAAGCAAAGGACATGAATCACATAATCCTACCAATTGATGCAGAAAAGGCCTTTGACAAAATTCTGCACCGTTTCCTGATTAAAACACTCAACAAAATAGGATTAGAGCGGAATTTCTTCAATATAGTAAAAACAATATGCACAAACCCCAAGCCAACATTATTCTCAATGGAGACAGATTAAAGGCATTCCCCTTGAGAACAGGAACTAGACAAGAATGCCCACCATCACCTCTCCTATTCAATATGGAATTGGAAGTCTTAGCGATAGCAATAAGACAAATAAAGGAAATAAGAGGTATCCAAATTAACAAAGAGGAGGTAAAATTATCTCTCTATGCAGATGATATACTATACTTGGAACACCTAAAGATTCAGCAAGAAAACAACTGGAAATAGTTGGCCAATTCAGCAAAGTGGCAGGATACAAGATCAACATACAAAAATCAATTGGATTTATCTACAGTGACAAAGAGAATACAGAGCCAGAGCTTAGAAAAACAATACTGTTTACAATAGCTAATCACACAATTAAATACTTGGGAGTAAATCTATCTAGAAACACAAAGGATCTATTCAAAGAAAATTACAAAACATTGCTACAAGAAACAAAGAGACCTGGAGAAGTGGAAAACTATCCCTTGCTCATGGATAGGAAGACTCAATATTGTGTAAATGACAATACTACCAAAGGCAATTTACACATTCATTGCAATCCCTATACAAATACCAGTCCCATTTTTCAATGAGATGAAAAAGGCAATCTCCAACTTCATTTGGAATGGAAAGAGGCCTCGAATAAGGAAAACACTCCTAAAAAAGAGAAACAAGGTAGGAGGCATCTCACTCTCTGATTTTAAATCCTACTACACTGCTGTGGTTGTCAAGACAGCATGGTACTGGTACAATGACAGACACAAAGATCAATGGAATAGAATTGAGAATCCAGAAATTAGCCCAACTACCTATGGTCAACTGATTTTTCACAAGGAGATGAAATCAGTTAAGTGGGGAAACAACCTTTTTAACAAATGGTGCTGGCAAAACTGGAAAACTATCTGTAGAAAACTCAAGCAAGATCCACATCTCACTGCATACACAAAAACCAACTCAAAACTTGTCATGAACCTAGGACTAAAACCAAGGACTATAAACTTTTTTTAAAGAAAAGCTTGGAAGAACTCTAGAAGTCCTAATCCACAACATAAACAGTCTTCCAAGCATCCTGAAAAATCTACAACCAGGAGGGAATAAAATAAATGAATGAGATCTTCCAGGAATCAAATCCGTATGCACATCCAAAAACTTCTCCACCAGGGTAAAAAGGGAAGCCACAGACTGGAAAAAGAAATTGGTAGTAACCTATCAGATAAGGATCTTATATATAGAATTTATAAAATACTGGAGCATCACAAGATAAAGGTAAACAATCCAACTGAAAAATGGGCACAGGATACGAACAGACACTTCACCAAAGAAGACAGACAGAGGGTAAACACACACATGAAGAAATGTTCAAAATCCCTAGGTCTAAGAGAGATGCAAATCAAAACAACTATGAGATATCATCTCAGCCAAGTAAGAAAAGCAAAATTTGACAGAACAGCAAGCAACAAATACTGGCGAAGTTGTGGAGAATCTGGAACCTTTTTTCACTGTTCATGGGAGTGTAAAATGGTGCAACCACTGTGGAAGGCGGTGTGGCGCTTTCTCAAAGAGTTGGAAATAGAAATACCATTTGACCCAGCAATTTCACTACTGGGAATATAACCCAAAGAGACCATAACTGCCACCCAAGCAGAAATATGCACACCCATGTTTATCGCAACTTTGTTCACAATAGCAAGGAGTTGGTCATGATAGGAGTCCAGAACAAAGGCTGCATAGTGGAGTGGATCTGGGGGAAGGAATTGTAAAACAATGAAAGTGTTTTTTTTTTCTTTTACTTTCAAAGAAAAGAGTGAATTGGGTGGGGAGGGGTGGGCAGGGAAAAAAGTGCAACAATGAATGAATGGAAATCCAAAGTCTCAATAAATTTTCATTAAAATGAATCATAATTTTTAAAAAGAAATTTTAAAAAATTAAAAATAAAAAGAAATGTTCAAAATTCCTAGTCTAAGAGAGATGCAAATCAAATTAAAGCAAATCATCCCACCCCAGTAAGAACAGCAAAATTTAAGAGAACAGCAAGCAACAAATGCTGGCGAAGTTGTGGAGACATTGGAACCCTCATTCAACTGTTGGTGCTCCTGTAAAATAGTGCAACCACTGTGGAAGGCAGTTTGGTGCTTTCTTAAAAAGCTGCAAATAGGGGAGCTCTGGTGGCCTAGT